AAACAGTCGCTCTTTTCCGGATTCCAGCCCCATCTGTTGCTCCCTTTTACACTCTGGGATTCTCTCTTCACATCCATTTGGATGATGAACTGACACAGATACCCTGTCTAATCTTAACTGAGCAGCGTAACTTGTCTGCAGCTCTGGGATCTGAGGTTACTGGCCTGGCCTCATCTTCCTGCCTCCCCCTCCCCCTGGCTGTCCCCACAACAGGGCTGGCAGGGGCTACAGCAGAGGTCTCAAACACGTGGGCCACATGTGGCCCGCAAAGTTATTTGCTGCGGCCTGCCAAGCTCCTCGCCCCCCCGAGTTATTTCCAGTGGCTGCCAAGCTCCCCTCCCCTCCAGCGCGCCGCGTCCCCGCTCCTCTACCTACCTTCAGGGGCTTCCCGCTGCCAAACAGCTGTTTGGCGGTCCTTAGTGCTTTCCAGGAGGGAGGGGGGAGGAGCAGAGAGCTGTGGGCTCAGGGGAGGAGGTGGAGAACAGGCATGGCAGGGGTGGGAAGAGGCGGAGCCGGGGCAGGGCCTCATGGAAGGGGCAGCGAGGGGGGTGTCAGTGATGCGGCCCTACGGCCAATGCATTAGTCCTCATGTGGCCCTCTTAGTCATTTGAGTTTGAGATCCCTGGGCTACAGCATCACTGGGACGAGCTTTACTTATTAGTGGGGGGGTGCTGTGTGGGGAACCCCCATCCCTCCAGTAGTATGGTTGAAAATTTAACCCCAGGGGTCAGGAATCTTTAAAGGGAAGGCTCCCCAGGGAGGTTAAACTTGGCCAGTTGGTGTGCACAGGATGTGCAATTATAGGATATTTCCGTTCAGTGTGAGCCTCATTATAATCAGGACCGGCTCCAGGCACCAGCCGACCAAGCACGTGCTTGGGGCGGCACCTTGAGGCAGGGCGGCACTCGATTTTTTTATTTTTTATTTTTGGATTGAGCGGAGTGGGCTCGGAGGGGGGGGCGGGGGCTTCGGGCGGCGCGGTGTTGAGGGGCAGGGTCGGGCGTGGTGCGGCGCTCGGAGGGGGCGGGGGCTTCAGGCGGCGTGGTGTTGAGGGGCAGGGGCTGGGTGTGGTGCGGCGCTCGGAGGGGGCGGGGGCTTCAGGCGGCGTGGTGTTGAGGGGCAGGGGCTGGTGTGGTGCGGCGCTCGGAGGGGGCGGGGGCTTCAGGCGACGCGGCACTTGGAGGGGGCGGGGCTTCGGGTAGTGTGGTGCTGGGGGGCGGGGATTTCGGCGGCGCTTGTGGGGGTGGGGGGAGGGTACAGCAGGACGGCGCTCTTCTTTTTTGCCTGGGGCAGCAAAAAAGTTAGACGGCCCTGATTATAATGTACAGCAATGTGTGGGGCTGTAGGGTTTTCAGTGGGGGTGTGACCCGGAGTGCCTGGGGCAGCCCTCTCTGGAAATGCCAAGGTCAGGGCAGGCTGCAAAAGGGAGAGCAGATCCTCCCAAGACTGAAGTTAAACCTCCCAACCAGTCACAAACTGTGCTTCTGATCCCCCACACTGGTTCTCAAGAAGCAAAAGAAGAAATCACTTTATTGCCCCCTTTATTGCATTCCAGTCTCTGGCTCCCAATCAGCACCTAGATCAGGTACAGTGAGAAGTTATTTTAAACTCTGCTCACATATACAAAATGTTCTTCTGACCCCAAAGGGCCAGCCACATTGCCAGGTCAGTATTGGGTTGGATCTCGCCCAAAATACTACATTGCCAGCCAATCCTTTCATGTCTAAAACTAACAACTCTCTTCTTGTTCTTTCTTGATAATAAACTTTTAAATGATAAAGCACTCAGATACATACAGAGACTTTAAAGTCCATATATTAGATTCTTAATGGTATTGGTGAGTTTGCTGGCTTGAAAGTCCTTCTAGAATACACCCACAGCTTGGACAGGTCATTCAGTCCTTTGTTCAAAGCTTCATTTGTAGAAAAGTTACTCCAGAGGTAAGAGAGAATCAGGACTGAAGACAAAATGGAAATGATGCAGCTGCTCTTTATAGTCCTTTTGCCTTGTGGCTTGTACTTCCTGTGTCCCAAACTCAAGCTTCACAGCACATGCCATGGAAAAGGCTTAGTTCTCTGTCCACAGGCATACAACATGCCCTGCTGATTCATAAGGTGTATCCCCTAGTAGTTCCTTCAGTGGGTTCATTGTACAGTTGATGACCCTTGATGGTTCATCAAACAGGCTCATTGCTGATGCCATTCTGTCTGGGAGTGTCACCCAGAAACACAGCACAAGTTTGGAAATACAGACATACCCTACATATCTATAACTAATTGTGACGGGATTGCTGGGGTGCAGCCTGGGACTGTGGGACCGCTGTGCCCCCTTGTGATAAATATGGGGGGGTAGCTCCCTTTTATGGACACCCAGCCAGTCAGTAGCTATACAATCCTCCTTAGCAGCTGTACCCTAATTGGCTTACCTGTAAAGGGTTAAGAGAAGCTTAACCTGAGTTGGCACCTGACCAGGGCAACCAACAAGAGAGGCTGTACCCTTTCAAATTGGAAAAACTGCTGGGTGTGGGTGGGGTTTTTCTTCTTGCCTCTCAGGCTAGAGAGAAGGGAAGGCAGCAACAGGCTGTAAGCTCTGAGCCAGGTATGGAAAATCATACCTAGCAACATACCTAGAAACTCCTCATTTGGAACCCAGAGATGTAAGTAGCACAGGAAAAGTTAAGACAGACCTGGTTAGGGACCTTTTTGGTTGTTTTGGTTTGTACATTCCTCTGTGTTAACCCCAGGTGTTTTTGTTTTGCTTGTAACCTTTAAGCTGGACCCTAAGAAAGTCATTTTGGTGTTTAATCCCTAACATCCTGGTTTTCAGATGCTTCCTTTAAAAAATAAATTTTATTTTAAAAAGAATCCTTTGATTCCAAAGTCCTTAGACAAAGGGTTGGTCTGTGCTCACATTGCTAAGGCAACTGGTTGGTATTTTATTCTCAAGCCTCCCTAGGAAAGGGGGTGAAGGGGTTTACGGGGATATTTTGGGGGGGATGGGGATTCCAAGTGACTGTTTCCTGAATATTTTGTGTAAATCACTTGGTGGTGGCAGCCATATCTGTCCAAGGCAGAAGACTCTGTGCCTTGGAGGAGTTTTAACCTAAGCTGGTAGAATACAAGCTTAGGGGGTCTTTCATGCAGGCACCCACCTTCTGCACTCAAAGTGCCAGAGTGGAGAATAGCCTTGAAACCCCTAAACTCTCCAGCCTGGGCTGTCTCTCACAATGCTTTGCTACTGACAAGCAGCAAACCCCTCCAGGCGCCGTGATCACTCAGCACAACAGCATTGTGGAGCCCCACACCCAGCTAGATTGCATGAATGCTCCCAGAGCCACTGACGAATCACAAAGCCAAATCCCCCCCCCAACTCCCAGCACTGAGCCTCAGCAATATATCATCTTGCACTGCTCAAGATGAACAGTGCAAATTTATTAATTGGTTCACCACTTCCTCAATGGAAAGTGGATATACACCAGCCTTTGCAAACCTGAACAGCTTTACCAAACACTTCAGGCAAACTCACTGGTAAAGATAAACAGTAAAACAAGTTTATTGACTGCAAAAGATAGGCAAAAAGTCAGTTAGTTACCAAAATAAAATGAGTACGCAGTCTAAATCCTCAACCCTATTAGACTGAGAAATATCTAGATTAAGCAGTTTTTCTCACCCACTGGATATTGCAGTTCTTAATATACAGGTTTGTTCCTTAAACCTGAGCCAGTGTCCTCTGTCGGCATCTTCTCAGTGTTCTTGTTGCTTGCAGCATAGGTAGGGGAAGGAGAAAGGCGAAGGCATGGGCCCCCTGTGTTCTGTTTTATACCCTTAGTCCATGTGCTTGTAGAACACAACTCCAGGCATGTCTGGGGGGCATTGCTGAGTCCCCAGGCAAGGTTGAGCAATTCCCCTAGTGTGGCTTAATGCAGGTGAGTCATTGAATTGTAGCTCCCTTGCTGGACAATGACTGTTGATGGGCTGTTTCACACCCCACCCAGGTGTTGGTTACTCTCCCTGCTGTTGCCTCTGGGGGAGCTAATATCAGGCCGATTCCCCAATTTACAGCATATTTTACTGACAACCATAAAACACAATCTTATAACTTTATATGCACTGACATACATCACTAGATAGAACAGCGACTTTTACCAGTTCATAACCTTTCCGCATGTTTTAGATGCAAGATCACAATTATATATAAATGAGGGATATGCGGGTTGCAGGGGGCTCCCCCAAGGTATAGACTGCCACACTCCTAATACGAAAGTGATACAAACATATAAACAAGATTATCGTTCTTGGTGACACTTTGCCCATTTCCGGCACCCCTGCTGAGCATATTCTTCCCTTGTTCTCAACTTTCCCATTCCCTTCACTGCACACTTTGTACATCCCCAGCCCGATGGGGGCTGTGGCCTGGTTGGCCTCTGGCACTACCGCGGTGTGTGTTATAACAAACTCCAACTACACTGCTTGTCGGATTGGTGACCATGTCCTCTGAAGCAGCTGTTGCTGGCCACTCTCAGACTGGCCCATCTCTCCCATCAGTCTGATCCCATCGGGCAGTTCTTGTTTCTGTCCCAGTTTGTTCTCCACAGAGATGAGAAGGGGCCATCTCTCCTCTTGTGTTTTGTTTTTTCTAGTGGTAATATCTAGGCCGTCTCCTCCATGCCACCCTGCTGCCTCCTGGTGCCCGGACGGCTGGTTCAGGAACCGAGGGAAATGTTACTATTTTTCTAAGGCCGAAGGGAACTGGACCTACAGCCAGAGCGTCTGCTCTTCACACGCTGCCTCCCTGGCCGGGATTGATAATCTACATGCTCTGGTGAGAAGCATAGATGC